AGTTGTAGATCATAGTACCCCCCTTCTGTGCCGTCACTATTTAACGCAATCAAAATTGTGAGCCCTTAAAAATGGGGTAAATGTCCAACCCAAGTGGACTTCCCCCCACGTTCAAGTTAACTTTGCATTCGTTTTGCCAGCGCAACCGGCATATTGAAGCTTCCTTAAAAGGAAAAGAGCATAATTACAACTTTTCTTTCATTTTTGTTCCCTCCAAGCGGCTAACATATTATGCGCACTCATCAACTTGGACGTCTTCACTTGTGTCGCGCCTCCGCGAAAGTGAGAAAAATTTTGAAACGTTGGAGTTATGCCAATTCGTAGCAGCGAAATGGGAAGTAACAAAGGAAGGCGACCCACGTATGTGCATATACCAACCGCAACCCCCATGCATGTGTACTGGTCAGCCAATCTGCTACTGCTATGCGTGGGTGAATAGTCCCCTTTAATTTGATCAACTTGTACAAATGCCTGAAAGGGGTGTGGCTTTGACCTAGAGTAATAAGGGGAAGTGCCGATAAAGCAGGATGCCAAAGTGGCGAAGGGGTTTCACATATACTGTACTTAAAGGGAAAACGAGCAGAGGGGCTGCCTCCCCATTCGAGTTTGTAATTTGTTCCCTCGCGATGTGTTCGCGTAATTATGAGCTTAACTAAGGAATTATCCCTCTCTTAATGGATCCCTCGACTAATGGGCTACTGTTACGCCTTCCTTTTTTGCGACTTCGTCAGGCAACAAAATGGATATTCATTAGCTTCGGCGTAAAAGTATTCGCTCCAATTTCGAAAAAATAGGCGTGTTCTGTGAGTTCTTAACACTGGAGAGTTCACTCAGAAAAGGGTGTTGCGGTGCCCCCCCGTAGGCCTAACCTTTACCAAATGAGTCGCATAATAAATCTATATGCCCGAAAATAAAAGGCGCACCCAAAAAATGCATATATTGGTCACTCCACAAAAAATGGGAATATAAGGAAACAAATTTGGGCATAAATAAAAAAAAAAAAAAGCAAAGGGAATCGACTGGGAGCATAAATAAGCCAACCATCGCAAATGATCAGCGCGAAAAGGTGCTAACCCAGCGTAGTCAATTCGAATTCTCCAACAGCTCCTGCTGCGCTGGTGCACACGCACGGGTTGCGGTAGAGCCACGTCAAAAAGGGAAAAAGGTCCATTTGGGGGATGTGCTTCCATGAAGAGCGAGGGGGAAGGGAGCTGCCCAGTTAAAGGAGATCAAATATCACTTCTTCACTGCGAGGTTCTCTCTGTAAAGGGCGGTTTATTCTTCTTCTTGCCCTTCGTGTAGACCCTCTCATCGCAGGGGTTGAAACCCCGCTCCTCTGCACCCATGACGGCCCAGGTGGGTGTCTCGGCACAGTAGTCAGCGGCGCTAAAATCTTTATTTTGCCTCACCAAAGATTGAAACATTTCATAATCAATCCAAGTGTGCCATTTATCATTAATTTTGAATTCCTTTTTTGCTATTAAAATGCTGCAAGAGTGTCTATGCTCACAGGCAATTTCATACGAGTCGGAAAGATACCCATTAGAGCGTATTAAACTGTAGGCAAACTGGTACACTTCTTCATGCCATGGGATGTTTTTCATAGTAAGCTGATAACCATCAGAGGAACCACAATAAGTTACGGCTTTGATTTCAATAAAATCTGGGTAACCATATTCTATCAGCTTAGCATAACTTAAAATTTCTTCAGACATCATATTGTATTCTTTGACTAGGGTAAATCTAAATACCGTTCTTTCTTTTCGCTTCTTTAAAATTTTAATGCATCGTATGTATCGGTCCCAGAAATCTTTAAATAATGGCCGGTCTATGTTCTTCAAAGCCTCTTCATTAGGAGCATCAATCGAAAGGTAAAGTTGTGTCACTTTGTGTAACTTTTTCAACTCATTTGGGAACTGCGCATTCGTAACTAGGAACGTTGACACATTTTTGCTATGCAGTTCATCAATCAGCTTGTTAATATCTGGGTACATGATTGGTTCTCCCACTAGGGACAGGGCACAATGCCTAACATGGAATGCTTCATCAAATCTTTCTTTAATGACTCCATGTGCTCCTTTCAATTCTTTAATCATACCTTTATGTTTTTTAAATGCTTCCTGTACTATCATTTCTGCGTCGTCTTTATTCCATTTCCAGTGAGTCCCCACTGCGTTTTTGTGATGCCTCCAACAGAAAACGCATTTATTGGCGCAAGCTAGACTTGGGGTGGCTTCCATACATTGGTAAGAATTTATTCCATAAAAGGTATGCTTGTAGCATCCTCCTCGACCTCTTAAATGCGATTTAGTCCATCTGCATAACTTGACTGCACTGTGGGAACCGATAATTTTGTATCCTTCCTTCGTTAGGTTATTTCGTTGGTTGGATGTTAGCATATCTTTGGGTTTGTCCGGGATAAGGTCCTCCAATTCGTCACCACTGCTACAGAGAGAAGTGCTTCTTTTCACATCTTCCCTTTTTCCCATGCCATAAGTAGTAAGTGCACTTTCTTCTACCATTTCATCTTGGCTGCTTTTCTCGAACGTGGGAACTTCCTTCCATTCGTCACCATTGGGTGGGGTGCACCCGTGGTGGGTGCCTTCTCCGCAGGTGCTGCACGACGCGTTGGTAGAATGGTCCCCTTTAAAAGGATCCCCCTTTGGAGGATGACCCGATTCAGAATTTTCCTCCTTCTGAACAGCCCGATGGCTGTTCTGCCCTCCCTCCTGTGGCACGTCAATCGACGTCTCATCGCTTCTGCTCCTTACTTTGATGTCTTCATCTCTCCTCTTCCGATTATCCTCCTTTGCGCAAAAAAAGAAGCAATAATGCTGCAGAGAGTTGTAAATCTTCCTGTCTTCATACGGCAAGAAGGAGTATACCTGGGGAAAATTAAAACAGTAGAAAAGGAGACCCAAACTGATCGTCTTAAATAAACTGCATTTCCACAGAAGAAACACTTCTTCGTTGTTTTCCTCATCACACAATTTTAATGTCTTAAATAATTTCTGAGCACCAAGGTAGGACAGATACTTGTCGCACTTCTTAACAGGTGCGCAGAAGTGACTACTTCCGTACTGTTTGTTCCCAAACCCTATGCAAGTATAAAAAATATTTTTTAAAAAATCTTTTTCAACTCGGAAGTCATGAAATAGATCTTCCAATAGTTGCTCAAATTTGTAGCAATTCTTGGGGAAAGAACCATAGCTAGCTGTACTCACAAATAGTAGCAACACATTTAAATCGTATTCACTGGTGCGTTCAAAGAATGTATAATCGTTGAACTCGTTGCCATTGACAAAATCGAAGTCGATTGTGGAGACATTGTTGCTTATGCAACAGTCTAGGTAGTTCACAAATTTATCGCTACATTTTTTTTCCTTGTCTTGAAACTCCTGTAAAGCTTCATGTGCAGCATTTACCTCCTCTGCATAGAATGAATCCTTCTTACCACTCCTTGCATTTTGTTCATTCCTCCTTTGTAACAATTTTAAATACTCCTTAAAACATCCTACCAATCTGTCATCTCTATGGCCACTCAGTTCGTTTGTCCTTCCGTTGAACAAGTGGTGGCTCCCCCCCTCCGTTACTATTCTGTTTACTTCGTTACATATATTTTCTATGTCTTTGAAAAATTGTATTAATTCGTTTAGAAATCCCTTCGCTTTTTTGTAGCTCTTGGACCCTTCCGATCCGTATACTATTCTTAGATTGATCTTTGCCTTTTTTGTCTTCCTAACGGCGTGCTGCTCAAAAATGGTTTGGAAGAAGTTCCTCCGTTTTTTCCCCTCGTCCCCCTGCACCATTTTGCTCGCGCGTTCGTACTTGGTGAGGGGCAGGAGCGGTTATGTAATCTGTTCCCTAGTCTTAGCTTGGTGATTGGCTAATACGGCGGCTTGGGTAGTCTATCCCTTACGCTTAAGCTCTTCGATTGACTGTGTACTTCCCACTTGAGCTCCTTTCAAAAGATGCGAGGCTTACTCCACAAAAATGGAAACAAAAAAAATATATCGCAAAGGAACTCCGCTTCGTCCTTAGCGAAACTTCAAATCTGTCGTCGCCAACGGGGCGTGAAAAAATTGCAAAATGGGTTCCTCCTTCCCCTTTCATGCGCTCTTCATCCTCCTTAGTACATATTAAAAGGGGCAGTTAAATTATTTTGCAGTTTCTGGTGCGCTCAGCAAGGGGGTTAATATATGCCAGGCAAGTTCGTTTTATTTTGTTTTGTTTTATTCTATTCCATTTTGCTTTATTTTGTTTTATGTTTTTTATGTTGCTTTGTTTTGTTTGATTCTTTCCGAGGTGTTCATGCGGATCGTGTTTGCTCACCGTGCCGGCAACGGCCGCTGTCCAGCACAAATGCATATATGCATCTTGAGGACACAAAAAAGCGACAAACAAAAAATGGAGTAAATGGATGCACAGATGCGTAAAATAAAGTTCGCGTGACGCGCATTGATGCAGATGTAAAATGTAGAAAATGGAAGCTGCATCAAAGCGGAAGAGCGTTCATCCTGGGGAGGAAAAAAAATCATCATGCCGATGAAGATGATAGCGCTGGTGAGGCTAAATAAATAAATGCAACAAGCTACAAACTGCCGGTATAAGCAACAAACATACACGCGTGGTGGATAAGTCCTAACTGGAGGGGGCAAAAAGAGAGTACTCCCCCTCGTATTGGGGCATTCTTCCAGGAATCCATTTTGCTCATGTGGGCTATATGTTCAAGAAAAAAATTTCACCATTGGCGCCATCCACGCGAGTATATCTATGTACACATGTGTGTGTATTTTCTGTCCGGGGGAGGGGAGGGGTCGAAAATCTGGCGAGCACACTGCAACGGGTTGCATGTACATACATATATATACATATATAATTATATATACACGCTCCTGCGGGGTCAAAGGGGAAAACCGCCTCTGTTTCACCTTTCTCATTTTGCGGGTATAAAGTGCTTTCCTCTTCGCAACTGATGCGTACATCCAAATGAGGACTCCTTACCCGTTGCGCATGGGTCCCCGTTTGCACCCCTTCGTGCTTCCCATGTACGAATCGAGTATCTTTTTGAAGACGCTATTTTTGGTGGCAGGGGGAATACGACCACTTTGCTTTTTGTCACTTTGCTTTTTCCCCCTTTTGCGCATACCCCCATGAACTCTATTTTCACCCGTACGTGTATGTGAATATCTTCTTCTGTATGCATAGGGGGGTTCCATTTCTTGGGGATAAGAATCGCCAGAATCATTTTCTTCCTCGGGAGAGAGGTATTGGAAGGCGCCACCAGTTCCCATGTCATAGGTCAAAATGTATTTAATGGTGGAATTTATACTCTTAAAGCTTTTTCTACATTGTGGTTGTGATAAACAATCAAACATTTTTCCAGACAAGGGGCATACCAAATAGCCCCACTCTATGTCCGATGAAATGGCTAGCTCACATTTATCATCACATATGTGATAATTCCTACTTTTAGTGCATATATACACATCGCTCTTTGGAATATATTTAAACTCGCAGTGCTTGAATGAACACATGTGTCCGTTTTTGTCTTCTTCTCCTTGGAACCCCCTCTCCCTAAGTATTATTTTGTCATTCCAAATTGATTCTTCTCCAATTTTGTTCATCATCTGGTTATCGTTCATCGGGTGAGGGATGCAAGCCAGTTGGCTCCTCTGGTTCGTCATCTTCCCCCCATGATGCCAGTGCTCACATAGGGGTAACGTAGCTATACCATTCGATACCGCGTCATTACTGCCTTCGTGAGGGCTCTCGTCGGAGATACAATTCTGGTGACCCCTTCTTCGTGTGTAATAAAGGGACACAGGTGGAGAACCAGCTCCATAATCCCTTGCATACATCTTTCTGTCCATCTTAAAACAACGGGGGTCGTACAAATGAGAAATGTCAAAATGTGCAAAGGAGCTGTCCCGCAAGGCAAGTAATGATGCCTCCATATCTAAGAATTGTTCTTGTGCAGACTTTGGAAAACAAACATATTTATTTTTTTTTTTCTCCTCATGTCTTATGTAAAAGAGCTCTTTAAACGGATCATTTTCTTTTCTATTGATGATGTCATCTGCATATTCCCTGCCGTAGAAGCATTTCCACAAATCATTGTACTTCACTGCGCAGTGGAATTCTCTGCACACGCAGTTTTTGTTTTTCAACACATCTTTGTAGGTTAGGAATTTGAAGACTTCTTTTATGATGCCCGACGGTAGTTCGTTCATTGGGGGCGACTGGTTGGGGGGTATCAGGGGTATGATCGGTATCAGCGATACGCTCGGAGTGAGCGATAGAGTGATGTGGTCCGTATGAGCACTGTGCGCCTTGCATGTGGCACATGTAGCACCTACGGAACGATTATCTCTGTGGGTAATCTTTTACGTGCGTTTATTCACTTGCCTCGTTCGCCTACTCGAATTGTGTGACAATCCTGCGGGCACATGGTCCCCCATCAAAACGCTATATTCACGCGGGTGTATATTCGCTGGTGTGTTTTAAAATGCGAAAGCAGTATGGAGTTACGCGGGTTGCTCCTTTTCACAGTTTTTCCTCCTGACGATGAGCGGTGTGTCGTACCATGCGATGCGATTTTCCTTCGCGCCAAACGTGGAGGCATTGCCTTATGGGCGAGTTAAACGTATCACCAAAGGTGAACTAACTTCCGATGAGGAGAGGTCTTAAAACGTTTCATTTCCTTTTTTTTTTGTTCAATGTATTGTATGCTTCGAATTCTTTTATTTTGCCTTACGTCATATTGTCATCATTCGCTGTGCTTTGTTCTGTTTCTACTATCTTATTTCATTTTTTACATTATTTCTTTTTATTTCATTTTTTCCACTATTTCATTTTTTTCATTTTAGCGTAGTGTTACCTCCTTTTCTCGCGTTTTTGGAAAAATCTGTCCGCGTTTAGGAAGTATTTTTTTTTTAATCTTTTTTCCCTCGCATAGTTTGTACGAACCTTCAGGTGAAAGTGTGGAGGAAGAAATTGGGGATATCTGAAAAAAACAAAAAAGGAAGGTGCCAAAAAATACGCCCATAGACACGATTGCGTACCATACATAAAGGTTTACCTGGCCGCACAAATTACATGTCCTTTAAAATGCAGAGTGTAATGACGCATGTGGAGCACTATGCCCGTGTTCATACCCATTGACAGACCACGTGTTGTCCTTAGCGCATATTCTTTTTCCGTTCCCGAGTTGGCTTCTCCTGGATGCCACTGTAGTGGATACTTCAGTTTAGCAATTTTTTCAGTCTGGTTTGAGCGGTATCCCATAAATTGAACCTCATTAGATAAGTCAGCCGGTAAAATCACCCTAACAGTTACAACACCAAATGCGCACTTCTTAACCGTTCAAATATGCTGTGGAGGCATCACTTTCCTATATCCACGTAAAATAAAATAAAAGCGTAGCGAGCCACACGCGGGAAGGTCTCTTAACCATAGCTAAAAAGAAAAAGACACATTTCGCAGTGTGTCTTCTTCATAAAAAGGAAGTGGTCAGTGTATTTCCCCCCCAAAAAAGGGAGGGCTACCAATCTGAAGTTACGCATAATTCTATGCGGCGTCCTTAAAACAGTTTATGATTTCCCCATGTGATAAATCAAAACAACCATTACCCCAAGTTTGTAAACTTTCCGCAAACAATCACTTAAAGGGGAAAGAAAAAAAAAAAAAATTACAACATTTTGACAGTTGCTTGTACGTATTTATATGTAATTGTTTCTTCTTCGCAAAAGAGAGCATAAAAAAAAAGTTTATTAAAAAGGAGAAAAATTCCGTTTGCTGTTATTTACATTTTCAATATATATTTGACTTTACTAACTATACTGATGGTGGAACAGAATTTACTAACAAATGAGTGACGCGTGTATGTTATATAAATAAATAGACCCACACATGTGCCCCTATCGAGAAAACCATTTGAATGTGTTGGATGTGGGATTTGCGTCACGGCGTGGTGAAACGATAATCCACTTCCTATTAGAAAGGTACCCATGGCAATGCAGCGATAAAATTAATGAGAAAAAATGCTTGGTAAACGTATTTTAAGCGAAAATTGCAAAAGAGGTAAAAAATCGTTCTTTTGGGAAAAATTACCCCCCTTGGGATGGATTGTGAAGAATAACCTCAATTGTGTACAATCGTCCAAACTTAAAAAAAATCGCTGAATAAAGTGACCCAAAGTGGCAAACCATCCGAGTACAAAATTGCCAAATGGATGATGAAACGTCGTTACCAATTTTTTCGTCCCACGTCAAAACAAAAAAAAAAAAATAAAATAAAAAAATAACTGGTTTAAAAAAAAAAAAAAACAATTAGCTAATGAGCAAAGCTTCATTTTTAACAAATTTACAGAAAACTGTGGAGATTATCAATAACGTGTTAAGAGCAATTTTCACAAATGCATAACTGAAACGGCAGCATGCGTAGCTGCTATTTGCACGAGGTACTTCTGTTTCATTTTTGCATCGGTCATACTTGCATATACTCAATAGTAGTTCTTTCAGAAGAAAAAAAATAGATGTATGTAATGTATGCATTTGCAGGTGGATCCCATTGGCGTCCACATCATCAAAGTTAATGCCACTTGGGAAAGGCTTAACACGCCAGGCGAGTGCACGTAAAATGGCTGCACTTCACACGAGCATGTGTTTTATATGAGCCAATTTGCTCCACCAGTGAGGCACCATTTGTTTGTTTCGAACCTTTATAGGCATGTCCGCATCACCTGAGCAAGTTTGAAATGGTTTAGATACCTTGACCTATGCGCTTACATTGCACATTTTGTGTTTTTCCATTTTCATGCCTTCTCCAATTTGTTACCCTCTGGATGGAGGCCGATATAGACACATGAGTAGATATGTATAGGCTCCTTTTTTTATGACCTCCTCCCCACCTTTAGGTGCAATCGGTTCATGTTTACCTCCCTGCTCTTTTAGGAATGCACATGCGGGATTCCATAAGGCATGTCATATTTCGCATGTCCATTTTTGCGAGCATTCTTTTATTACTTTTTTTTTTTTTTTCTTCTTTTCATTTTTCCATGCCACCGATAACCGCTTAACAAGATGGATGATGACTTCGTGAAAGCGGTAAATAAATTCAATGCCAATTTCGGGATTCACAAGAAGAGTTCTGCTAGGGATCTGAGTGAGAAAAAAGAAAAAAAGGAAAAGGTTGATGATGAAAATGCCAATAAGCTGAAGGAAGACTTGGAGCTACATTATATACACAACTCCAACAACAAAATATGCCAAAAGTTTTTGACCCTGCCCTTGAGCGCCAAACCGGACAGGCTGAATTGCCACTCGGATAAGGTTATCCTGGTAAGTGCAGCTCGTTGCCAGGGGTGGTAGTGACGTAGCTGCTAATCGTGCAGTTGCCAATCATGGACCTGTTAATCATGGTCGTCATTGTAGACGCAGCAGTGGGATCCCTCCCGTGGTCTGTTAGCCCAACGCGAACATCCGCGCGTATGCTCGCTCCATTTTCGTCCAGCTCATCCTTAACGACCCAAATGGGAACGGACGTTCGCACAGCAAATCTCTAAGAGGCAAAATGATGGGGGGCCAAGGTTTCCATTTTTACATATGCCCGATGCATTGCAAATGGATATTCTCGCCCCGTGTTATTTTGCCCAATTTTAGTGCGTTCATTAGTAGCTCTTTAATTACTTGAGCATATGATGTAATTAATGTCACGCGTGAATGTACAGTTAGAGGGTGTAGCTCCATTTGGTGTGTGAGAACACTGTGTATGGGGAGGGAGAAATTCCAGATTGGGAACCACGAAGGGGGGACCAATGCGCACAAGTGGGGTATTCCCCCCGTTGTTGTGCAGTGCACGTACACACGTACAGACATACAAACGTACACACTTGCCAATCAACCCCCCGCCGCTCAGCCAGTTTCCATCTTGAAAACGCTGGAGAAGGGATTCTACCGAAGCGAAGTGGAGTTCCCATATACTTTCAGCCTCAAGAACGTACAAAACAACTACATCACGCATGTGTGTGTTCTAGAGTTCAGCTCAAATGAAGGAATCATACACGTATCAGAAAATGTAAAAGAAAACTTAGGAATCAAACAAGACAGCGGAATCGTCCGATTATTAGTAACCTATGCAAATATACCCAAATGCGATTTTATCAAATTTGAATCATTAAATGAAAATATTAGCAACATAAAATTTATGAAAAATTTACTACAAAATGAATTGAACTTGAATTATAGTACCTTGACACTAGGGGACTATATCCATATTAACAACTTAAGCTTCTACATAACTGAGTTAGAACCAGATAATGCCGTGTCCCTAATAAATACTGACATCACCGTCGATATATATGAAAGGAAGGATGTGGTAGAGAAGAAACACGAGTCTTCAAATCGTCTCAGTAACTTTTATGAACCCATAAACACGACCGATGTGACAGTTAACAGCACTATTGGGAAGGAAATGAAAAAATATAAATACTTTTTCCATTACTCTGTTTTGGATTTGCTCAAGAAGGATAAGATTGAAATGAAGATTTCTCTCCATACCAGTGGTTCACATAACGATCTGGACATGTATGTGTCCTTTCCTCCGCACGAATCCGTGTCGGATGTGCTGCACCATTTGCACTTTGACGATCTTAGCAAAGACGTCACCATAAATAGGGACCTGATGACCAAGTCGTTGATGCTGCACTTTACCTGCTTTGCGAGGGAGGGTGCACATGGCGGCACAGACGGGGATCTGCCAGGGGCTGCTGCGGAAAGGGTGCCACCAGGGGACAACTCGGAAAATGTCACTTCAAGTGGGCCCGAAAAAGAAGACTCAAGTGTACGCGAAAACGACGACTCCTCAAGTAGGCTCTCTAAAAAGGTCTCCCCAAGTGCGCCTCAGAACAAGGATGACCCGTTCATTGAATACCTATACGATCAATATTTCCCCCACCTAATGTACATTGCCATTTCGTGTTCGGCCGAAACGGAGGTTCAGTACACTTTATCGATCAAAGTCCGCAATGAAGGTGAGACGGAGGAGCCAAAAGGGGACGAAACAGAGGGCATGCGTGACCCCCCCGCTGCCAGCAGAGCGATGAGGCCAACCGAAAGTTCGAGCAGCGGTCACAAGTTCATAAAATGTAACAATTGCCTAAAAGACATTTTTGAGAATAACCTGAGCATGCATCAAATTCACTGCCTAAAAAATTTTTCCCTATGTAATATATGCAAAAAGAGTTTCCAAAAAAAGGATTTTTTCAATCATACCCATTGTGACATATGTAATGAAGGCATAAGTACATCCGACAGGAAGAAACATAACTACACGTGGCACACAAAAATAAAATGTGCATGTGAGAAATATTTTTATAAAAAACAATTCATTTTCCATCAAGCCTTATTCTGTCCGAAGAAAATTATCTTCTGTTCGTACTGTAACGTATTTACGGCATCCTCCACAAGTGTGTACAATGAGGACTGCATTTTGGAAAATTTTTTGGACAAATTTGATCACCAGGAAAATTTTACATCCAAATCGGTCCGCTATTACATGCACTTACTGCATACGAATTTTTCCTACTTTGTTAAATATATAAATCACACGGAGCATGAAAAATATTGCGGGACCAAGTCAGTCATTTGTATCTTTTGCAAAACCAACATGCACAAGAACAGGTACTTGGCTCACCTGATGTTTTTCCATGACAAGGATAAGAAGGAGTCCTTTACGCTTATCAATGAAAATTTAGAAGCTTAGCAGAGTGTATCTGTCCACGTCACTCTTTATTCACCCCCGCGAGATGTCTCGCGCAGTTGGTTCGGAATACACACGTCTATGCATCCGCTGGTTTGCCCCCCCGGCAGACACATTGGTTTGTACCATCGTTTGTTTGGAAATGTGACCACCTGGGGATTTTTCCATGTGGGCCTTTTCCATGGGATGACTCCACCCATTGATCATTTCCACATATGAAGCGCCCCCCCCTTTTTTTTTTGTTCTCTCAAGACTCACTTCTCACATTGCTATTGCCCCTGTGTGATGGGTACAGTTAACCGAGGTGAGGAGGGAATCACGTTTGTATTTTATTGTTTAAGTTTTCTTTTTCTCATTTTCAATAAAAGCGCATAACAACAGATGAGGAACTCACGAAATTTTGATTAAATTTCTTAAAGTCAAATTTGTGTAACATTTGCACTGCCAGGTACTAGTACACATTTAAGCAAAAGGGGGAAGACAGCTATGTGGGGGCGGATGGGCGAAAAGGCAGGAAAAAAAAAAAAAACATCCCCATTGCAACATTTCCTTTTTCGCCCTTTTTCCGATCTGGCCGCTTACCACATTTGATGTTGTCTCGATGTACCTATTTCAGAAAATTATGTCACATTTCTTGCCGCCAACTTGCTGGAGGAAGTTACCACCAGTTGGGTAACGCCTCGCATGGTTACATAACAAAAATCATTCGTCTGCTTGCACCCCTCGCTTGCACCTCAATTTTTAAACCCGTTTGCTCTCACCTTAGAATAATTCGCAAAAAGTGGAAAAAAAAAAGGGGCGAACAAATTTGGACTTGTGTTGAATGATTTTTATTTTTAGATTAACAAAATTGAGAGTCTTTTTTTTTTTTTCTTTCCTAATTAAAGAGGTGGCAAAGGCAAAATATAGGAATGCACGACGGCGGCATTACTGTACACTGGTGCGTGTATATGTTTTTCCCCCCCTCCGTGTTTGAAGCAGCACGTACCTCCCCTGTTCCTTTCTCCTTGCAGATAGGCGTAGGCACTATATGTAAATATATTTAACTCAGGTATTAGGTATGCCCTGAAAATGTGCCTGCCCCCCATTCTATGGGGCTTCTTCACGCGCGGAAACATCTACCTGAAGCTGAACTGGGGTATTTTTTTTGCCATACAAGGCACCGCATGCATTGGGACATAGTTTTTCACGTCGCGAAGATGCAAATTCCTCGCTGGAAAAAAAAAAAATTGTAAAAAAAAAAAAAAAACCCTCAAAAGTTCCGCTTCTAGAGGAACATAAAAAAAAGGAACCTTTCTGAATTTTTATTTTCTCCTTAAACAAAAAGATACATGCGTAAATGAATATATGTACAGGTACAAGTACAGGTATAGGAATATGCGTAGGCGTAGCCATAAGTATATTAATATGTATATATTTTACTTGTACATGATCATGCCATCCGTGTGGCTATAAATTTCCCGAGCGTTCATAAAAAAGTATCGCTCCCCAGCGCCTCTTCAAATGTTACTTTCCGGTGGCACAATTTTTTTTTTTTTTTTTTTTTGATTCCTGATATTGAAGCGAGAAGTATGCACAAAAAAAGCATGCGTGAGAGAAGCAACATAAAACTAACAGCTCCAGAAAGGCATCTGTTTTGTTTGGTCATATTTGTCGTGAAAAATACCTCCAAATAGAACCGTCTCCTCTACATAAATAGAAAGGCATTTTTATCCCTTACCATTTCTTCCACGTGTGACTCTTTTTTTTTTTTTTTTTTTTTTTTTCCATTTCAGTTTGACATATAACGAGATGTTGTACACCATTTTAGCTTGGTCACCTTTTCGTTTCTCCGTTGTAAAAATGTTACAACTTCGAATCTTCTAGTCCACTCCCGTTTAGTGGCCACAGATACGCCTATCTGTGTGCACATTTGGATATTCCAACATTGTGTGAACATCCGCGTGCCAACTGTAAAACGGCTACAGAAAGAGCAGAAGAGGACCCAGCCCACCCCTCCACAAACAAACACACACTAGAAGAAGGCATCCCGGGAGTCACAAACGAACATACTTAAGCCTACAAACTAATTTAATTTCATCCATTTTTAGCCAATTTGTATGTATTTACATCACATATATCATAGGGCCTACTACAACACCTTCCAACAAGACATATCGACAGTAGATTCGTACAATCTGTACCTATTTGTGATATACCTTAAAATGGGAATGGTATTTTCCAAAATCTCCACAAATGATGAAGAGGGTCGATTATTGCTTTCGAAAACCGGCTTACTAAATATTAAAAAGAAGGACACTGTGCGATTTAAACAAAAATTTAAAATATTAAAAAATAGAATAAATGGTTTTTTAAAAAAGGGATTTAAAACCACCTCTTGGGTGGTGTGGGTTGCGGGCGTATCTGTGGTGGTCCTCATTACGCCTATTGCGTTTCAGTACGAGAAGGAATGCCAGTTGTTCGAAATGCAGGCCCAGTTTTTGCAGGCGCAGCAGGCGGCTAATGTCCCCCAGTTGAACTGACATATCTGCGCCGCGCTTCGAAGTGACTCTTGAGCGAGGGGGGGTGGGCGGCGTCGAAGTGGTGAAGTGATAAATCCGTTGGAGAAATTGTCAGAACAGTAGCTGCAGGGATGACCGCTGAAATGCCGCGAACGGCCACAGATGTGGCCAACTTGCAAGACGTGTCCGTGCGTGAATTTCCCAAAAAAAGAGATTTCACCTTTTAAACAAGCCCTCATAATCAGCTAAGCCAACACAAGCAATTTGCAAAAAAAGGCATTTTTCGTGCACTTTATTCGTTAGCCGTTATTGGTTCGTTATATATATATTTTTTTTTTTTTCCTGTGGGGGACATTTTAAGCAAGGCATACATAAGCACATGCATATACACTTAAATGAATAAACAAATGTATGTGCACTCTCCCCCAACCCCATGTGGGGGGATTTCCATTTCAATCTTTTGCATTCACGCGAAGAGGAATTCTTCTTATTTTAAAGCGCATAATTTGAAGTTCATAATTTGAACCTTTTGTCGTTAACATTTTTCACCGTAAAAATGTTCACCCCCAACGTTTGGACAATTTCGCGCCGAAAAATTGCTCTTCACATTTTACTCCTCCCAACTTCAACCTTGTCACGTCGCCATTTCTCAAATTTTTAATTTCCACCTGCTGCGTGTAACCGTAGTGAACAAAACTGTGCGATTGAAAAAACAAAATGGAAACACCAGTTTGTTGAAAATGTTCGTTTTTCAAAAAACAACTGAAAAAAAAAATCACTTTTGAGAAAAAATGCGTACAAAGGAGAAGGCCACATTAGGAGGGTTGATAAATGCGAAGGGGGGATTCAAAGTGGGGAAAACAAAACCAATTTTGAAAATAAAAAAAATGAATAAATAAATAATACGAAGGTGGCTACCCTATGTGCGAATCCCCCCGCACACCGGCACCCACACGCGGTGTTTTACCAAATGGGCACCCTCATGAAGAGATAACCACCTGCGTGAATGCTGAGCAGAGGAGGGAATTTCTCGCGAGCAAGCAATGACTGCAAAAAGTGGCTCTTCATTCTGCTCCTATTCAACATAGCGTACCCTTTGTGCGTAGCAAACAGATAAAAATGATTGCCGAAAAATGGGCGATCCGTACATGTAAAAGACAAAAAAAAAAAAAAGACGCCTAAAATAGGACGGCAACACAGGGGAGATGAACGTACATTACGTACACACACTAATGAAGGAAGCATTTTGACACAAAATTGATAACCCCGCGGCGAAGCTACTTCAACTTAACAATGCCCCCAGCCTCTGTAAGCTTGGCCTTCCACTTGTCAGCCGTTTCTTTGTTAACTTTTTCAAAAAGAGTTTGGGGTAAGTTATCCACCAAGTCCTTGGCTTGCTTCAAATTCAGATCCTTCTTAATCTCCTTAACGATCTTAATGATGGGAATTTTTTTATTGGGTTCTATATTTTCTAAGATCAAATCGTAGACCTTATTTTCGTCATCCTCTTCGTCCTCATTAGCGTTTGCATCACCTGCATTTTTTTTATTGTCCTGATCATTGTTCGAAGCACCTATACTCTGTCTGGTGTCCACTGAAAAGGTGGTTTCAATTTGTTTCACTAGTTCGCTTGCTTCCAGCAATGTTAACTCTTTCAAACTTTCTATAATTCTATTTACCTTTTCGCTACCTAAGGTAAATTTCTGTCTTCCATTCGATGCATCCTGTTTCAAAATGATTCCATTTTTATAATTTAAATAATTTTTCCTCCGATGATTATCACTGATTCTTTTTTCGCTATATATAAGGTAGATATAGCTCAGCTTACTCTGCCTCTTCAAACACGTCAAACAGCTGATACCTCCCAGGAAGTATACTACTACGTATGTGAGGCACAGGAGCCAGAACCCCCTCCTGGTAAGTTGGCCTGGTCGTTTATTCCTCAACTTTGTTCTTTTCCCCTCGTACACCTTGGCTTTCCTTCTGACTAGTGCTTTATATGTTCTTCCTTTATTACTCATTCTTCAAAATTATGCATTTTTAATTCGTTTTTTTTCTTTTTTTTTTTCACTGCTGCTGGATTTAAGCGTATGGATAAGCGCCAAAGGGGTCACTCCTTGGGACAGCACAGTTTGGTTGCACAGCACTGTGCTGATTCGAGCGGAGATGCTACACCTCGTGCTGGCGGAGAATTTCCTAACGGTGTACGCTTTGTATAATTACTCACTTGAGACGACTTTTAGATTTTACCTTCTTTTTTTCTCCCCTCCTGATTGGGTGTTAAAAAGACGCTACTCTATAGCAGTGTTCCTTTTCCCTACAGGGAAATGCTGAAGGGGTAGGCAAAATTGCCTGCCGAGGGGGATACCTTGTCAAAATGGTGAAGAAGCGCAATGTTTGGAAGTACGCCGTAATGACGAGGGGCTTCTTCCTATGCGCCAAAGGGGCTTACGCATCTTTCAAGATGCGCCTTCCGGTGGCCTTGCATGGTTTTCCGCTTCGCCTTTCCGCTCGCGTAGCTTCACTGATTGACCGCCAGTTCGGCTGGCTCGACTAGTAAAGCAAATATTCAGCTGGTCAACTAGGGAGCCTTCCCATGTGACGCGTTTCCAGCCAATTGAATTGCATCCCTTTGGGGTGTAAGTATAGGCCGGGAAACGCATGTACAATTGAAAACATGCATGATTATGTTCGCGCCTTTTTTTTCATCGTGCCCCCGAGCTCACCCGCTCGAAAATGCTAACTGGGAGCTCATTCGGAGGTGCGCAAAGTAGTGCCAAAGGGTAAGTCCGTAAAGGAAATTACTAACGAGTGAACATTTGTTTGAAGAAAACGCTTGCGCGACGAGGTCATCCCTTTTGGAAAAAAAATGAAAAGAGGTTACGCAGAAAAACGTCGTCAATAAGGCAAGACATCGTTCATAAAAAAAATCCTATTGATAAAACCGCCCCCTGTTGAAAAATGTACGGAGGAAACAGAAATAACCGGGCAAGGAAGTGGGAGAGTGACTTAAACCTACGAAGCAGTCAGCATTACCACCGGACTGTGGCAAACAAATGAGGAGATACAAAAAAAAAAAAAAAAAAAAAAAAAAAAAAAAAAAAAAAAAAAAAAAAAAAAAAAAAAAAAAAAAAAGAAATGAAAAAATTCTAATCTAACTAACCGTATGTACATATTACACAACTAGAAAACATATCCATTACTTCCAACATGGAAAGGAGTCGCACGAGGTTGTGGTCCTTCAAAATGTGTGCGGGACGTATGGCAACTTTTTTTTTTTTTCCCTCTGTATAAACAGAGGATATATTTCTTTACACTCGGTTAGGTTTAATCCGATTTAAGATTCGCTTTTTAAAGTATGACTTAAGGATTTTGCTTCCGGCCCATAAAGGGTACTACTTTTTTCTTTTAGCATAAACGAGGGAAGGACAGAAAATCCTTTTCGAGGTGTGTTCCTCAGTTGATCTCACCGTCTTGGCTAAGCTCCACCATCCCCGCGGGCGTGTCCCCACCGGAGACGCACTTGACTGTGATGTCCATATCGCTCAACAGAATTTTTCTCGCGTAAGAGTCTTCACCACAAGATGACATAAACTTTTTGATTTTAAATTCAACGTAATCTTCCTCATGGTCCTCATCATTCAGTCCTATCGGCTTGCACAATGCATCGTTAATGTCGTTTACCTCGTCCGTTATGTCTATATCAAAATATTTAACCGTTTGCATTTTTTTATTTGCGAGTTCCCTTTTGTAATGACTTACCAGATCGTGGTCGTCGTTTATGATGTTCACCTTTAAATTGGCTTCGCTTGATAGTTCAAAGAGAGACACGTTGTGGCGCGCAAGTTCGGCCTGGCCATGGTTTTCCTGCACAGCGGCCTCCATGTTGACCGAGTGTTTAGCGGCCAGTTGAGCGGTCTGCCGAGTGACGTACTGACTAGCCAATTATCCTAGCGTATTCCCTCACTGCCTTCCCCTTTGACGCAAATGCATGCACCGTACTGACACTTCACCCGTCGACCCAATAACTTCACAAATGGCGATTTCTATTTTTTTAAAAAAATTTTTTTGGGGACATATGGCAGTCTAACCCTCAGAGTTTTAAAAAAAAAAAAATTCTTATCCACACATCCGCAAAGGTATAATTACGCTCTCCCTTTTTCGAAGTGGTATGACAAACTTACGGGTAGCAATTTCTCTTGTATTCCTTGTTGCACCCTTTTGAGTGGTCAATAGGCTTACGTTTGGCAAAAATTGTTAGACCCCTTTTTTGTGCCTTTACGACTGATGCAGGGAAGGATAACAAGTTAGGGTGTGTTCATGCGTTGCGACGCAAAACTGCCAAAAGGCTGGAATAATTCATCAGGTCGAAGAACTGAACTGCAGCTAGGCCTCCTCCCCATTTTCATTCGCCACTTGCCTTTTGTCTTTGCATCCTTTTTCGTTGGAATTTTCTTCACGTAATGTTAAAAGCGAAATTGTCACATTTGCCTAACTTTTCAATATGCAGTTTTTTTTTTTTTTTTTTCCTTAGCTCTTAATGTTACAATGGGCATGCCTCTTGGGTTGTGAGTCGTCAAATTGTTCACTTCGCCCGGGATGTTAAAAAAAGACGAGAAGATTCAAAGAAAGGAAAAAAAAAAAAAAAAAAATGCTTACTCAAATGTGTGTCCATTCCAAGTAGCACTGTTTCAGATGCTCGATGAGGGGATATATTTTTTTTGAGAAAATGATTACATACAAAAAATGTGTTCAAAAGTGCTGGAACAGATGCATGAAAAAGATTAGAAGCAGTTACAAAGGATTAGGAAAAATCAGAAACGGTTTCACATTTCGTGAAAAATTCGTTTGCTCCATTTCTGCAATAAAAGTGTTGAGGCGCGTCGTGTAACAGGATCCTGGTGGTGGGTGTTACATATATCAGCTCACCTAAAATGCAATCGCGAACGGGGGGGGAAGTACACTGGGTAGTTCTTAACTGACAAGGGGGACCCATATAGGTTGGGAAAGTTCATAAGTCCACTTGGCGTGCCGCCTCAGTTTATCTGCGCCCCACCGAACTGCACATGGAGGTCATATAAGTAGGCATATATATATATACAACGAGCGCAGAGGTATACAAATGTAGATACATAAAGATTGCTTGCTGCATATGCTCTTATTCACACGCACAGTGAGAAGAAAAGATAAATTTGTAACATTTACTTTTTTTTTTTTTTTCTCCGTGAAAAAAAGGGGAAGAAATAAGAACCCGAATGCATATATTATATATATGCATGTACGGCGTGTTGGCCTTTTTTTCCTTTTATGAGCACTAGAATCACTTTATTTCGGCATCATCTGACTCCTATCAAAATTGTACGTATGAGAAATATGCGCGGTTAGAAAAGAAGCAGATGTTCCTTTGCTTTTCCTTTTTTTTCTTTTTTCCAATTATTTTAGAGTCTTCCTTTTCTGTTGCCATTGTTCTCCTTCCCTTTTGGTACATCATCTTTTTTTTTTTTTTTGCCTTATTAGAAGATAACGTTTTTTTCTTTTCTTCTTTTGCATACCATTTTGCGAATGGGGGAAGAAGCGCAATGAGGGATCATGATAATCTGGCCATTTCTACGCTCCAATTATTTGCCAAAAGGAAGAAGTGAGAGGACGAAAAGGGTGAAATGACCCGAACCGTTCCTGCTTACCTCATTTATTTGGCTCACCCGTTACTTCCCCCCGTGTAACTACAAAAGTGGTGGGCCCCCAGCAGAAGCGACCCTCTGAGAAAGAGTTCACTGGGCTAGCAGAAGTAGAAGGAGAATCAGAAGTAGAAGCAAAATCAGAAGTAGAAACAAAATCAGATGTAGAAGCAGAATCGGAAGTAAATTAGCCAAATGCGCATCTAACCACAAAAGGAAAACTCCTGACAACGAGATCTAAGATCAGCTTCGAGGATATATAAAAATATACTTAGCTCGATGCTTATCTGATTAGCACATCTGATCAAAACGTAGAAGGGGAAAGCTTGGCAAAAAAAACAAAAACAAATCTGCATTTTTTCGTTGTCACGAAAAATAAAGAAAAATTAAAATCAATGAAGGGCTTATAGGCATCCGACCATCCGCATTACCACGTTCGCGGCTTAGTCGACCCCCTTTTTACGACTCCATTCTTTTTGCTTTTTCTTTTCCTTTTTCCCTTTCTTTTTCGATTCCCCCCATTCGAAAGCACAATGTCCATCCTGCAGAAGATAGCTGACATCGAGGCCGAAATGGCCAAGACGCAAAAGAACAAGGCGACGAACTACCACCTGGGGTTGCTAAAAGCGAAGCTGTCCAAATTAAAGGCGCAGCTAATTGAAGGAGGGACAAAAGGAGGCGGAGAAGGAGAGGGGTTCGACGTTTCCAAAACGGGAGATGCGAGAATAGGTCTGGTAGGTTTCCCCTCAGTAGGAAAATCCACCCTTCTGAACAAACTAACAGGGACATTTTCAGAAGTGGCTTCATACGAATTCACAACCTTGACGTGTGTGCCAGGCATTTTCAAATATAAAGGAGCAAAAATGCAATTACTAGATTTACCAGGGATCATTGAAGGAGCAAAAGATGGAAAGGGAAGAGGAAAACAAGTCATTGCAGTAGCCAAGAGTTGCTCACTCATTTTGATAGTCCTAGATGTATTAAAACCATTGACCTTCAAGAAAATAATTGAAAAGGAATTGGAAGGGTTCGGAATTAGATTAAATAAAAAACCACCAAATATTATTTTCCAAAAGAAGGACAAAGGAGGAATCAACATCACGCACACAGTGCCATTAAATAACATTGACGAGGACATGATAAAATCCATATGTCATGAGTATAGAATTATGAATGCAAATATATCCATACGATGTGAAGCTACTGTTGATGATATCATTGATGTCATTGAAGGAAACAGATTGTATGTTCCATGTATTTACGTTTTAAATAAAGTAGATCAGATCACATTAGAAGAGTTAGAAATTGTTACTAGGCTGCCTCATAATGTCCCTATCTCTGCTCACTTAGAATGGAATCTAGATGGACTATTAGAATCCATTTGGAGCTACCTAGACTTGGTTCGAATTTACACCAAACCGAAAGGTCAGATTCCGGACTATGAGTCGCCTGTCATTTTAAAGAAGGAAAGATCCAAGGTGGAAAATTTCTGTAAAAAAATTCATAGATCCTTAGTGCACCAGTTGAAGTATGCCTTAGTTTGGGGCAAGTCCGTCAAACATAACCCGCAGAAGGTTGGCAAGGATCACGAGCTCAATGATGAGGATGTCGTTCAGTTGGTGAAGAAGTGAAGCGATGAAGACGGGAAGGAGAGACTGTTACTTCCTTCTGTCTTCCTCACTTGCTGCGGTGGCTCGGCAAAGTGGAAAGATGGAATGTGGCCAACTTGCCTATGATCACCACTGCGCCATTTAGCCAATGTGCCAGGGGCGAACTTGCGGTGTGTATGCGCATATGTCGGACCGTCGAATATGCCAGGTAAAGGGAGGCAATTCCTCTTTTTAGCTAGTCTTCCCAATTTGATGATTTTTTTAATGTATTTTTTGGCTGACCCCGTGGTATCGCACACCGTAGTCGCCACCTCTTTGTTCCAACCCATCGATGGGTTAACCTTCTCAAGAATGGCCCCCCTCGGATGGTGTCAATTTATATAGTTCCCATTTTAGATTATCGCTGTATGTCCCATTTTGTGACAGCTTAATCATTTTAATCATTTTAGTCATTTTAATTATTCTAATCATTTTAATTATTTTACTTTTTTTTTTTTTTTTTTTTAACATTAAATGCCTTTCTTGTCGTCTATCCCCTCTATTTTAAAAAGGACAAGAAGTCCCACTCGTGTGAAGCTTCCCTCTCCCCATGATGGGATGATTCAAAAGGGAAGACCTATCATGGAGAGGTCGCAACCACGGAGCTGCGTCCGAAGAGCGGCCAACAAAAGGGTGTAAACACAAGTATACAATAAAGCGTAAATTGCCTTCATAATATGATCATTTCTACTTCCCGTCTCCTGTTTCCATCAACATGCTGAATGTACACAAACACGCCTGAGGCTTACAATTTAAAAATTGACTACTTTGGGGAACGCTGTAAAGTTGTTCCTTCCTCAAGTACACGCGCATGTGTAGAGTGGTATGCACATGTAGCAAATATGCCTAATACGACGGATTCAATCGATCTTGGCGAAGTCCACTTTGGAAGGTGAAACCCAGTTTGTTCACATGATGTGAGATGATGATTCGATGTGATCTTCAATCCATCTTAAAGGGAAGAGAAAAAAAATTAAGCGAGAGGTACTTCACATCGGGGGAAGAAAAAAAAAAGAAAAAAAAAAAGAAACAGTGTATGTTTTCTAAGTTGCTAATTTTACCTCTAAAGGAAAGAAAAAAATGGGTGAATTTTTTTTCTTTTTTCTTTTTTGCTAACTCCGCATAGCAGTGACAATGCAAGGGCAGAAGTGTAATTTCACAAGCGATTCTCTTTGACGTGCTATACATGTTGTAAGCAGAAGTAACAAAGCGAACTTTTTTTTGTTCTTTGTCCCCCCAAAGTATACTCCTCGATTGCCAGGTGAAGGTGACCCTCTTCTTCACGAGGAGGAGGGTGATACGTCTTCCTTAGGCTTCTATCACGCTTCAATCACTCTTCAATCGCTCTTCTAGCCACCGCTACCCACTGCAATCCCTTTAAAGGGGAACTGCCCCATCCCCAAGAACGCGAAAACGTGAACATCGCGACATGGTGAATCAAACCCCCCACATCGTCATCTTATCCTATGATGAAAAGAAGATAAACAAATTCGTGTCATATTTGATGAGCATATTTGAACCCCTGGAGAGTTACGAAAAGGCAGATACGTATAAGCTCACATTTGACCGGAATGATTTTCACAGTGACAATGGATCCTTTTTTGCTTTTAAAGAGGTGGCCAAAGTGGCCATTGTGAATAAGTACTACAGCGCGGAGGTGACTATTTCTTCCTGCGTAGTTCAATCTGGAGAGCATGCCATTCGTGTAAAGGAAAATCTGCCAAATCTGCCAGATTTGGAAGGGGATGATGAAGCAGAACCCCAATCGCAGAACCAGACCAACGAACTAGACGCTAAGGATATCCTCTGTGAAAGCTTCATATTCCTCTTTAACAATTTCAGCAAAGAGGAAAAAAACCTCGTTAATGTAAACCCATTTAGGAACTATGATGAGGATTGTGTAGAATACGTTAAGGATCCGGAGACCCAACAAATGATACGAAATGCCAATTTTGATTTTTCAAACATGTATAAAGATGTCGGGGTTAAAATTGCGATTTTTCCTTCATCTCTCGAAAAAGACAATAAAGATATTGTTAACTTCTTTAGCGACTATTTTATTGAATGCTTGTACATAAATTATGAGTCGAAGTGTTTGGAAGAAGGTGATGAGCATGGAGAAAGCGATTCCAACTGTCCAGATGAGGGAGACCAAAATGTAAAAGAGGAGAATACGCAATTACGAGAATTTGAAGAACAAGAAGATGAAGAAAGGTTGATAGAAGCGCTGCACTGCCATATGTGGAAGGGGCTGCAGATTAAACGGGACCATTTGATCATTCAGCATAGGAGGGACTTCCCTATGAGCCAAACCTTCAAGGGTGATGAAGCTTCGCCTAGCGGGGACAACCTCCCCCAGAGTGATAAAACTGCACCAAATGGGGAGAACCCCCTCCAGAGTGATAAAGCTGCCCCAGGTGGAGCAGCAGAAATTGATCCAAACGGAACCGTGGCGAACGGTGTCAAGACCCCCGAAGGACAGAAAGAAGAACTGTTCATGGAAAACTTCAACAAAATTGTGGAAAAAATAAGAATAGCAAAAATGGAAAATAAAAATTGCAGCAGCCATTCTGCACGGAGAAAAAAAGCGGAAGAAGTTATTTTCGAACTGCAGCAGTATTTCTGTGACATTGATGAGGAGTAAGAATGGGGGAAATGACTGTTTTCCCCCTCCTTTTCTTTTCACCTTTTTTCCCCCCCTTTTTTTCCCACATTTGTGCATTTCCCCAGCGAGCGCTCAACTGAAGCATACTCCCACTTTTGTACGTTTAGCTCCATTTCGAGGGAGGCTCCCATCCATGCGTTCCCCTAACGGGATTTATTTTTTTGTATTTTTTTTTTTCCTTCACATGGGGGTGGCAAAGAAAAAGAAAAACAAAAAAAAAAAACAAAAATGTGATGGAAATGTTGTTGGGCATCACTCAAACAATGCACCACGCTGAAGGAACAAGACCCACGTCAACGCACAATTTAGTTTTGTTGTCAATTTTTAATTTCTAAGAATAATCAGTGCACTTTTCCACGTGCACACATAGCAGGCGCCTTGCGCCACAGATATTTACATGTGCATGTAACTGTGTGAGGTCGCCTGTCCTTGCATGTGGTTTTCCCATTTTTACCCCACCTGTACGCAAGAACAATGGCAGAGGAAGGGGGCGAACCCTGAGAACGGGGCTTTCCAACAGTCACAATTTTTAAATGCATAAAATAGAAATATCGAGTCTTGAGAGTCCATCCCTGTTCACTACACACATCACATAGGCGTACCTGCGTGCTTAACTGCATAGGGGCGTAGCCACACATGCATATCTATACAAGTTTGCCACCCACGGCAACCACTCTATCTCGTAAATCCATGCGCCTACCACCAACGACGCAAGGGCGAGCACACAAATGAGTAGGAAAAAAGAAAAAAAAAAAAAAAAGGGAAAAATGGCACGTTTATTTTTTTTTAAAAAAAGCCACGCAATATGTTCCTTGCCAACTTTTGTTTTGTCATTATTTCTAAATGGAAGGACAACTCCAATATGTAATTAAAAGTGGCCATTTCTTTTTTTTTTTTTTTTTAAAGTTTATTCGTATCGACCTATTGTACAACCGCAGCTTCCCATCTTGTCTTCCTTTTTTTTTTTTTCTATTTTGTTTTTCCCGTACGTGATGCGCCTTGAATGGTTGTAGATGGTGCAAAGGAGGAGTTGATAAGCAGCGATGCATAAGACCGACGAGTGAACAGTGACGTTCATCCCGCTTCTCCACTTCTCCCCATGCGGAGCGGAAGAAACATTCAACCTCAATTGAAGGATGCCACCACCATCCCCAAAGAAGGTCCCCTTCCTAGCGCAACGCTAAAGATCATCCCACTTTGTTACGCACGCACACGTAAACAGTGGCGTCATATTCTTGCCTACACTCGCGTGGAATTTTTGAAGCCACATAATTGAACATTCCCAAAGCAACCCAACTCTGTTAATAAAAAGGGGATTAGCACTCACTGAATACCAACTGAAAAAAAGGTTCCACCTAAATTGGCAAAGCAACTTTAATTTAAAGTACAAAGAAAAAGTACATTCCTCCATTGTAGACCCTAATTATCAAAAGGTAAGCCCCACGTCCTACGCGAAGATCGTTACAGTTTTTCACAGATGGACAAAGGATTATACGTATATTCCTATGCCTGTACTCCGATGGGTGTACTGCTACGCGTGTACTCCTATGTGTGTACACCTACCCCTGTCTGAGTTGAACATTATCCCCTATTCATACACACCGTCTGTTGGACCACCCCTTCTCAGCCTCGGAACCATGAAGCTCTCTTATGCAATAAACAAGCTGATAGCATCCCTTGGAGGAGTTCTCTTAGTTGCGTACGACGTTATTCGAATACACAAAAGCAATATAAATTATGTGGACCATAACACCTACATAATGGATAACCCCTATGTGCCTTTTTCCACTTTTGTGATTCTGAGTTTCACATATCTTTTCCTAAACGGTTTTTCGAACTCAAAGAATGTGATGGCAAAAGGGTTTACAGGTATTGCTGCTTCAGGAAACGGGGGGAATAAAACTTATGGCAGTGGCTAATACTATAACGCTGCACCATTGTTAAGCTTCTTCCGTCACATTAACCTTTTTTTTTTTTTTTTTTTGGTTGCCATCTTCACACTTTCATTATTTTTTCTCCCCCCCCTGTTTAGGCTTCCTAAGCTGCTTCTTGATCACTTACGCCTTGGTTTTTTCTGCGCACCAGTTGTATCTAACATCAGGTAAAAAGGAAAGTGCGTCACCGACTTCTCATTTCCACGCTTCCCCACGACCTCATCTCACCCTCCCCTACAGAATTCACCAAGGCTGAGTCCGATCTGCTCAAAGACTCCACCTACCTGTGCATTTTCCTCTTCTTCTACTTCTGCTCATTGTGCATCGAGGCCCATCGCAATTTATCAAGAACCTTGTCAACCAAAGAAAGCATTGGGGGATCCGTCAAAATCGAAGTTTGAGTACTCACCCCATTCCTTCCTTTTTTCAAGTGCCAATTTTTTTTTTTCGAATTAGCGTACAAATGTTCATATGTGTATATTTGTATATGTAGGAAGCGGTTCGTTTTTATGTGTACCCCTTCGATACAGGGGGGCAGCACCTTTTTTTACCAGCGGAGCTGCGGTAGGTTTGCTGTGCGTGGGGAGAGCGAACCATCGGAATAGACCACTGAACAGTGGGCCAAGTGATGATGCTGATTGTATACAAATTGGTATCTCCCAGGTTACCATCACATGTATGCCCATGCATATTTCCCCGCGCCTGTACACCTACTGAGTCCCTCCAAACAGCTCTGCCACCCCAATTCGTATAATTAGTGAAGCACTCCTGAAACCAGCAGTTACTTGCAAAAAAAAAAAAAAAAAAAAGAATTCTTCAAAATAAGATATATACAGACAAATGTAACATATGACAAATTTACAAAATGAAAAAAGAAAAAAAAGGACAAAATTTGGAAACACGTTCTTCCTACGTGTGTTCATTTATATGAAAGAACGAGTCAAAAATGAACACATTGATATGTATCATGTAAGTATATCCCTCCATGATGAAAAAAAAAAAAAATTTTAAAAAACAGGGGGTACTTCATTTTGAAGCGTCACTTCAAAGGTTAGCCCATCTCACCCTACGCCGTTGGCGTCCAGATCCTTTTCCCTCGAAAACACATGAATCAAACCGCTTCCATTTCCGTATGCAATTAGGTATTTTTCGCCCAAGTTCGCAATGGATACGCTGAAAAATTGAAAAAGGAAGAGGGGGAAGAAATATAGAGACTTATAATTATTCATACTAAGTGAGGTGAATGGAATGTTCTTCACGTGCGCAAAAATGGGTAAATCGCGAATGGGAGCAACCTATATGCGGCAGTTTGCCTCCTTGTGTCGCAATGCGGTGCAAATCGACGCAAATCGTCGCGTATTCACCACAGCGGACTCACCACCTGGGCGTCAGGGCAATCGTGTTCTCGCGCGCATTCGCCTCAACGGCCTTGGACTTCCCTATCTTGACCCCGTTCCTAAAAATGCTCTGTAACCCCTGTAAGTATTCATACAACAGTATACGCGCCACAGACTCGGTTTCGTCTCCCTTCTCTGCGCTAATGCTTAGTAACACCTTGGGATCTAGTTGAAAATTTGGCGTCTTCCACAGAAACAATTCCCTAATTTTAACCTTGGACAAGTTCCCCTTCAACTTACCCACAAGCACTGTCCCGTCATCAAACAGAAACAGATGGATGTCGTTGAGGAGCGAGCTATGTATGCATATGATGTCTACTTGGCTAGTCCAATCCTTATCGATATTTAGAAAATATTTATTCTCGAACAAATGAATGATGCATCCTTTTTCTTGTCCAAAAGACAAGCAGCTATTTTCATACCACCTCATGTGAGTCACACTTTCTGTCTTCCTCTTGAAAAAATAAAGCTCGTTGTTGCTCCTTATGTCTATTATTATAATTTCTCCTTCCTTGGAGCTAACACAGAGAAGGTAGGAATTAAGACACGGGTAAAATGAGCACACGGATATGATGCCTTGTTGCAGGTGCAGGATATCTTCGTGAAAAGCCACGCAATGTGTATCTTTCCCTGATTGAGGAAGTTCGTTTGCGTGTAGCGGCTCTGGCGTTATGGGTACTTCTTCGCCTGGTGATGTTTCTCCCATATGGTTTATCCCCTTCTCGAAGCCGGTACCGCCCCCCAAAGGGTTCTTAAAATGACTAAGCAAATAATCCGCACACGTATGCGCGCAGGCATTTGTGGTTTCCTCCCTTTCTATAAAGCGCGTGATCTTCCCATATTTAGTTATCTCCCTCAAATAAACACTCAGCACTTTTATTCTGGTGCTATTAAACGTTAAGGCAATTTTTAAAAACCTTTGATTGTCATTTACACAAATAGAATAGGAAAAATCGGTGAGAGCTTCTTCATCGTGGTATGAGAAAACCTTTTCTAATTTCGTGTCCGCAATTTTTTCCTTTATGTACTCTGTTGGTTCTAGAGAGGTGGGTTCATTTTTTGCAGCGTCGTACAACTTCAGGACTAAATGGCGCTTCGGAATGACATATATGCTTATCTCATTCCCCATTAGGCAAAGCAGTAGGTGGAGGTGCCTTTCGCGCCTTTCCTTTGCGGTGGGTTCTCTTGCGCTGTCCCCGCTGTCCACGTCGTTGTTCCTTTCGCTACCCTTCCGGCTGGGAAGCTTAATCCACTCAACCTTCTTGCACATATGCTTCACCTCCACGATGTCGAAAAGTAATGGTTTGCTGCAGAAGGGCGACACGAAAAATATAAAAATAAAATTCCGGCTGCTTTTCTCTGAGCTTAAAAACATGTAACTGTTTAGGTAACTGCACGTGCTAACGGCTAGGAAACTTCCCTCGAATATTTGTGCACAAATTTTTGGAAGGTCATTCATGAGATCGTGAGGCAAGGGGTCCTTCTGTTCGTGCAGCAGGGGGTCCTCACGAACATGCCCCTTCGGTGCTTTCTTTCGCCCCCTGGTGCGGAGTCCACTGATCTTATGACTTGGCATAACGACCCTGTCATTATCACAGGTGGTTTCCCCATTTGGTAGAGACGCATCTAGTACATCCTTTAGGCAGTCCACAAAATTGACACCACTGCTGAAGTCTAAGTGAATTACCGGGGCACAAAGACTTAAAAGGATATTTTGCTCCTGTCTCATTTTCACCATTTCGGCTTCCATATTTGTCATGATTTTGTTCAAGTTGAAATATCCACAGGGGGAGTCGTCCCCATCTGGTCTTTCCAATGCACCATCTACATCGTTTTGTTTTTCCCAGTGTGAGTAGTTCCTCTTGGTGCATTTCTCAGAGTTGTCCTCTTCCCCTCCTACCTCCTGTTCTTCCTGCGATCCATTTTCGTCTAAACCGTCATATAAACAATCGCACAGGAGAAGAAAATACAAAAACTGGATCCCCTCCAAGTTAAGCGAAAAAGGATGATCATTTAGGTAGATGTTGGAACTTAGCAAATTATCTGGTTTGAGGTTTACACATACTTTCAACTTCTCCATCCGTGTGGATGGAGATGTGTTCCTATGCTTAGCATACTTGCGCAGATTGACCTTCTTTTGGGTCTTCGTCTTTTTGCGCTTAATTAGGCTCACTTTGCCACTTCCCGTCCTCACCGCAGTCTCTTCAAATATGGTACTTTTAAATGGGGAGAGTTCCACCTCCCTTCCGTTGTAGTCTATCTTAATATTTTCTATAAAGAACATGTGCCTTAAATTTGTTTCATCGTAATTTTTTATATGTTCGAAGGAAATTTTTTCCTTTATGTTGATGTCATTTTCGTCATGGTGTCCTTTTATCGCTGCGTCATAATTGTGGCTATACTGCTTGTTTGTCTGCAGTGGGGGGTCTTTTCTTTCCCTTTTCTGGTGAGTTTTCTTTAGGAGCTCGTGTATGACGAAGTTTATCAGGGTGTGTGCACTTTGATCCCCTTGCCAGTCGAGTGCGTCATTTTTCCTCTCACTCACACAACTTAAGTAGTGGAAAAGATCCACCTCGTAGTGCAGGGAATGCCCTTCATCCAGAAAACTTCTAACCCGATCACTTAAGGTATTTTTGAGCTTCTTCCTTTTCCTATGTCCACATTTCGATTTTGCAACTAACCGCTTTACCGCGTGGTTCATTTTTTTTTTTTTGTTCCTGTACTCATAGTTCCTCGGCGTGTAGAGAGCGTTTTTCTCGTATTCTTCATTTGACGAGGAAAGGTCGAACGGGCTGTCATCAGTGTAGTGCTCCTGCTGGTCATCCGAGGCTTCGCTGAATTTGCTTTCATCATTATCAATGTCGTCCGCGTAGTCGTAAATGTTGCTCGGTTTCTGGGCGCAGTTAGGCACACCTGAGTGGTAATCACCCAAGTACTTCCCACCTTTATCCCGTCGCCTACGTTCATTTCTTTCATACTGGACGCCCCCAAGAAAGTCTTCCATTTCGTGGACCATCCCATCCTCTGCCAATTTATCAGAAGTGACAACCCGTGGTGGTTCCCTTAACCTGCCGTCTTCCCTCTTGTACCCCTCAGCAGGGGCGGCATCAGCGTCTTTGCCCACTTCTACGATTCGACCGTCTCTGCCATTTGTGTTACTTCTGCCATTTGTGTCACTTCTTCCATTTCTGATGGTCCTCCCCTTACTCTCTTGCCTCTTTCTAAAAAGACTGGGGTACTCATAAATTTCATTCGCCGACACAACCTTCGGTTTCCTCTTCCTCATCTCCATGGTGTGTTGACTGCGTTAACTGTCGAATTGCCTCTTCCCTTTCGAGTTAAACCTTAACTTCTTTTTTATCATTCATTTCAGTTAAAAAGGAAAAACAAACAAAAAAAAATGCTGAAAAAATGAGGGAGATAAAATGGTTGCCAAAACGATCAATAGCGTTATGCCCTCAAAGGGGTGGAAAACAAAAAAAAAAAGTTAGCCCTTGATTTTTTCTTTCAATAAAAGTGAAAAGGAGAACTTCTTGTCACTTCTGCTCTTTTGAACATGGAGGGGAATTACTTTGCCCAATTTTATTGCTCTCCTGGGCCTATGTGCTCGACTCAAATGGAGTTTTTTTTTTCTTTTTTTTTTGCTTATGCAGCAGAACCTTGTGAGTTTAAAAAGGTGCAAGTTGCCTTAGGGTTCAAACGTTGGTGCTCCTAACGTTGACGGTAACACTGCCGCCGCTGTGGAACGGGTTAAGCGAAGCCACACATCTTCACAAGACCACCTTCCCTTAAAAGGGCAAAAAAAACGCGCACATTTCGCAAGAACAGGTTTATCCAAAACGGTCCTACGAAGAGGGGAGGAGGGTGAAAGCCTCACTTCTTCACACGACCGTCCCTACTTGGTTAAATCTTACAGATTAAATTTCGTAACAATTGTTCATTAATTAGAGCCCCCGTGGACATCCAAGAAGGAGAAAAAACACACCATTTCGAAGATAGCATAAAGTTTAAGTTGGAGAAAATACGAAAATCCGATCTTACAGTTTCTGTTTCTTTTCCCTTCATGATAAAAACATTGTAGTGACAGAAAATTGACCTTAGCACATCAACGGCAACGTGAGCTCTACACTCGTTAAAAAAAAACCTTTTTTTTCTTTTTTTAAGAAATTTGCATATTTGCACGGAAAGGGACAAGGCTGAGTAGAAATTTGTAGCGTCTCTAATGAGTCAAACAATTTCGCTTTTCTTTTCTTCTTTTTTTTCAAAAATCTATCCCTTTCAAAAAGAAAAAAGGGGATGTTTCCCCCCCACAGCAAATTAGCGAAGCGTCTTTACTTTACCAATTGGGCAGTTCATTGGACGCGAAAGTGATGCCCATTTGTTCGTTCCCCTGTTCGATATATACATGATTAGAAGAATAAACATGGATAAGACTTCTTCGTGGGTAAGCTTTTCCTTATGACTGTACTTCCTTTGGACAGTTCTGCCCCTCTTGCCATTGTTGGGGCGTCCAGAGGGGGGACACAACCTTCTCTAGATGTGCGACGCGGCCCATTCATCCTGTTGCGTAGGAGCACCTGAAAATCGCATCCAATGTTGGCATATCGCGGCTTGGACATACTCCGGTCCATCCCAATATCGCAAATTCATGTGTCCACACAGATTCCTCGCGATAAGTGCACCCCACTCACAAACAGACACCTAGGGCAACTGCCACAGGGCTAAAACTCAGTGAAGTTAAAAAGCTTGTAGGAATTAAAAATAAGGTTTTATAATTTTATTTACAACTGTTAAAATTAAAACGAGAAGGCACATAGATATATGTGCGCTGTACACGAGTGCATATGCAGACATATACAATCATATATATACAGGAAGGCACACACACATATGTATAAGTAACTGCATAAGTACACGTATATGTATATAGTAATATATACATGAGCGCGCAGACGCATAAATTGGAGTTTCACAAAATTAAAGTGCAAGCACAATAGGCTAAAAAACGTTAATTCTGGGACATTCACACATATTGGGCGCATATATGTGGCGAGTAGGTCATATGTACAGGGGGGAAGCGATACATATATGTATATATATATATATGTCCGTACTTCTTGCTTACATGGGCGTGCTTGGAGGGAGGAGGAGGAAAAAAAACTGTTTAATTAGTGCGCTATGGGGGGCAAGGAAATAAACCTAAATGTACCTATATATGTACATATATATATATATAGTAAAAGTCCCACTGGGTTAAATATACAACTGCGCAGGAAAAGAAAAGCACCCCAGATGTAGGGGAGGTACAGGGGGTAAAATTAAAAAATAAAAAAGTAAAAAAGTTGAAAAGGAGAAAAATGGGAAAGTGGAAACCCCGCATACATAGAAATTACGCGTCTTAAGTGAGAGGCACTTTTGTTCTGGGGTCGCTTCACTTTCTACACCCAGAGACTTTCCAGAAACGAACGCATGGTACTTGCCTACAGTCGCGCAGGAACAATTGGGGAATGCGAATGTACCGCGCGTCGACTAGGTGTTGAGATTTTATTCCTTTTATGCATTTTAGGGGGGTTAATTTTTTTTTTTTTTTTCCTTTTTGTGAATTTTACAATTTTTTGGAGTTTTTTCAATTTTGGAATGAGAGACTTCCCAATTGGGGTAGCCTCCCACTGTGGAGGGGTTTTCCCACTTTTTGGAGCTTCATTTTGCCCGACTGGTAGGGCCTTCTTCCCTATTGGACTCTTCCTATTCAACTCTTCCTATTCGACTCTTCTCATTTGACTCTTCCTACTGGAGCACTCTCCCGCGCTCGGCGTCACTTTCGGTTGCTGTTGACAATGTGGTTGAGCTTCTTGGCCTGCTTGTTGGTCAAGGCTGAAGAGGCCAAGTTGCTGAGGTACGCCTGGTCGAGCGAATTAATGAGGGATGCAATCTTCTTGTTGCAATCGGAGTCAGAGAAGTCCGTCTCGTAAATGGTTAAAAATATTTCAATAATTTTCCCAGTGTTGGAATTATCCTTACCAAAGAGGAGAGGATGATTTTGCGAAACTAAATCGATCAGATTTTTGTGAACTCGTCTACCCTCAGCATCGTCTTCCTTGATAGGCAAATTATTTAACCACAATTTTATTAGCTCTTCCGCATTGTTAAATTTGGACGTGTGCATTAGGACGATGTCTCCCAAGGCAGCTACCGCGTTGTCAATTGCAGAAATGAATTCCTTCGGTTTCTTACTGGATGTATTCTGGTGCACTAATTTTAAAAGATAATCCACAGCTACATTTGCATACTTGCTGAAGGCTTCAATTTTGGTGGCCTGAATGACTCCATAGCAAGCGGCTTGTTTCACCTTGTCATCCGAGTGGTTAATGTTTAGTAAGAGGGGGTTCATAAAATATTCCCATAGACACACACTATTTTCTTGTAAAAACTCTAGCAAGTCGTCACAGACGTAGAGGGCCAAGGCAACGTCCTCCGAGTTAGGAGAGTTCATATACGTGTTAATAAAGGTAATACAAATGTCGCAACAGGTGTTTAAAAACTGCGTGGAGTGATATTTGATGAGTACTCCTAAAATGTCTAACAAGTTGGTTCGATAGTTTTGCTCTAACTCTTCCTCCCTGTCGATTATCAACAATTCGTCTTCATCGACATCTTCGTTATTTTTTTTCTGGTTATATACCTGCCTCCTATCCGTTGAACTTTGTAACAGTTTAAAAATCTGGTTGAAGAATAACTTCAAGGTTCCATCGGGAAGCACATTCGAACCCGCTTTCTGCAAACACATGTAGAGCCCATTCGATTCGATAATCATTACGTCTAAGATGTATTCATAATTATCATCTAGCTTCGTTTCCGATAGACTTTTCAAAACCTTTTCCGCAGCCGCCGTTAGGATAGCATGCAGCATAGTTTTGTTGTTGTCCGTCTTTTCGGAGAGGATTCTAGCGGCCTCTATCAACTCGCTAACTGCAGTCAGAGCCTTCTGCTTTATCTCATCAGACAGTTCGTAATTCAGCATGGGTAAAACAGCTGTGGCGGTGGCTTCTATATAATCCTTATAATTCTCCTTCAGCACCTCAATGATTATGATTAAAAGATCCAGAGCCTTTTCCTGATCTTCCAGGAGAGATGTTTTCAACCCTACGTACTGCCCATTCGAAACCATGGTGATGGTCAGATCTTCCTCATCATCCGTTAGAGGTTTGGGCAAAACGCTTAAGAGGGACAAAATGGTCGGTACGATGCTGCTCAGGTAGGGGAAGAAGTCATTTCCTAAGGCTCGACATATTCTTCCAATTGCTTCTTGTATGTACTCCTTAACCGTATCATCAGGATCCATTTTGGTACTGCTAATTTGAAGTAATGCATTCATACATTCCTTTGCGTCCTCTAAGAATATTTCCTTTCCTACGGAGAGTCCGATGATGGAGATACATTCTATGGCCTTTCCCCTGCACGTCCTTTCCTCTTCCGAAACTGCCTTCTGAATGATCTCCTTCATCATGGGCACAACGGTGGAGTAATACTTTAGGAAGTCCTCTTCAATTACTCCTGCAATTACCGCTATAGCTGTTACGGCCTGTTCTCTTACGAGCAAATAATTCGATGAATTCAGTTTCTGCAGCAGGATATCAATAATCATGTCTGCGAATGGAAGTAGTGCCACTTTGTCCAGCTCCTCTGCGTAGTTCACAAAAGCTGCCGTTGCGTGTGACTGAACTCGAAGATGAACATCATTCATGGTAGTTATCAATGCAGTGATTATTTGTCGAGGATACTCCTTCTGAACATACGGCTGGTGATCTAGAGAAATTTGGCCAATGGCCTGACAAGCAGCATACCTAACTCGCACATCCTGGTCAAGCAACACTTGCAACAACATCTTTATTACATGCTCCAGTTGATCCTCTATTTCGTCCTCAGGCAAATATTCTATCGTCTGTGCTATGGCCATAATGGCAACGTACTTATGTTCCCATGTATTCTTCATTAAAAACTCAGACACCTTATTGTACAGAATGTGAATAAACTCAGCTTCCTCCAGTTCACTAAATGCTTTCCCAACTCGATCTAGCGATTCTTCTCCTATATCGTACAATTCCTGGTTGTCGTCTTTACCTTCCTTAATCGAATTCATCCACTCATTAAACGAGTCGTTATTAATATCAAGCATAAATAACATGGACAGGTGCACTATTTTGTCCACGAAATGGGGGACGGAGAGGGCCATTTTGGGTCTCCTCTCCGGAATGGTAATAAGCGCTTCAATACTTAACGACTTTAAGCTGC